CATACAGTATAGAACCAGTCGATGTGTTGTCCTTGAACTTTCCAGTAAATTGTATTCTGTTTGTACCTGTGCCCCCAGACGTCCATCCTTGATCTTCTTGATGTTGGTATGTGTTGAGTTCAGAGTGTGCAGATCCACTTTGTTGAGCTCATTGTTAAATTGCTTGCGAAGTTGCCACGGCAGGTCGTTATGTCTGGAAGATCAGAAAGTCTAAGCTGACTCACTCACAGAGCCTTCATATGCTGTGGTTTGACAGCAAGGAGTAGAACGGCTAGTTTGGGCTCAGCAGCGGAGAGAAGAAATTGCTTCCAGTCTTTAAGCTGGTGTTGCTCACACAACAAAGAGTAGATTACGCAATTCAACATTGACTTCATGCAATAGAGTTTCCCACTTACCCATCGATGAGAGGGGTCTCGGACATCAGTTTCAGAGCTCTGGTCATGTATAGGTCCTCAGCTGAGTTGACCACACAAGAACTAACCCAGAGTGACAAACACACGGCTGAGATAACGTTAAAAAGCATCTCTAAAACTTCCAAACACTTCTACATACACTGATGTTTTTCTCTGTTTCCTTGAAGTTCTTTTGCCGTAAACAGAGCTGCAAGAGAGCACTTCTTGATCTTCCTTTGAGCTCTCTGTGCTCCTGATGCCCTATTGCTACAGGAACAGACTTCTTCTCTTGCTTTGTTTTGTGTTTGTGTCTGTCGATTCAGTCCAGTTCTTAATCCAGTTTTCTGTACTTTTGCATCAGATTAGATATTTGAACATCTGCTCTGCTTATCGCTCCTCCTCCCTCTTGACTCTGTTTCTGATTATACCATCAGCAGTCGTAAATGTAGCATAGTAGCTTTTATTGTCCTGCAAACTCTGACAACAAACTCCTGTTATCCACCGCATGTTGGATAATGTATATTGCAGCTATTGAAAGCTTTTCTAAAGTTCACAAAAATGCTGACAAGAATCCATGTGGCCTCTAAAAGACACCATAAAGTGATCCATGTTCATGACTGTTTAGCAGAAGCAGCACAGATGTTCAGTATGGAGTTACTGCCTAAAGTCAATACTACTGAGTCTAGCTTCCTGATGTCACAGCATACCATCAACCCCCGTCCATCCCTCACATTCCTCTCAAAGGCTCCTAAATTACTTTTGTTCAGTTTTAACATTTCTTTGCCTTATTAACAAAGCATTAATGCCTCATCAATCTCTAACAGCATGATGATCACACAAAAATGCTTATAAGTGGTTTCAGTAATAAAAAAAACTTTAAAATGTGTAGTTTTAATTAACAAAACGATGTTGCAGATGTCCCGAGATGTGATGAAAAGTGTAATTTGCAGGTTGATGGTGAGAGGTGTTTTCAGGGATGTTGCCCACAATCTGACAGGTCAGTTAACAATCACAAAACATCTGTATTATAATAATAACAATAGGTTAACAAACCAGATAACAACGCAAACATCAACTCATTATTGGCATTAAAGGAGAGAGGAACAATACAATCCCTTTAAGTTGGTGGTTTGAAGCTGTGATAGGATCACTGATGGCCTGCTTACTGAACAGTGTTTTTGTGATTATGTCTCTGAGTGCACATATCAAAGTGCACAAGAGTTTCCTGTGAAGCACATGGCGGGTCATTTGCTCATCAGATAATAATTGAGAGTAAGAGTTATTTTCCTTATGCTTGGCCACAAACTAAAGTATAATTTATCTTAACTAACACATCAAACTGATAAGATGCCCCTCTATAAGGTATCCCTAATAAAAGCACTGATTTATTTCCCTCATTATCTTCACCTCCTTATCTTCAAGGCTGTCACCCCGATAAGCTAATGGTCACTATTAAATCATAAATAATGAATCCAACCATACCAGGTCAAAGAGTTACACATAACATAAAGCAGTATTCATAGATAATTCACATAGCGCTTTTTTAATTTCATATTTCAAACACACTGAAATAGATGTTGTTTTTTTCCCCCTATGCACCTTTAAGAAAAATCTAAAAACCCAGCTCTGTCATGAATACCTACAACCTTAATGAAGATGATGACGATGGTTTTGATACTAATGATGATGATGATGATGATGATGATAATGATGATGGTCTTGTTTGATAACAATGGTTTTAAGATGGATTCTATTCTGATTAGAGCTCTTAAGAACCGCTGTCAATGTCGTGCTTTGCCTCTGTGCACTGCCTGTCAGCACCTGTGTGTCCGATCAAACGCAAAGCTGTTCGTTTGCACTTACTGACATTGTTTCCTCTTTTCTAAAATTGCAAAATCATCCTTGGCTAACAATATATCAATATGTCGCACTTGTATACTTTCTTTTACTTCCATCGCTTTTGATAAAAGCATCTGCGAAATGATTTGTACAATTGTAGAACAAAAAAACGATATAAATTTGTGAGTATTGTTTATTTATCAACTTATTCGCACCTCCATGTTTATTTGATCGTGATCGACAAAAACAGCTGACTAGAAACTTTCAAAATGTTCAATTCACATATAAGCATACTTTTTTTTACCATGAGAAAATGAGATAAATACTTCTTGACATCAAATATTATATTTCAAAATAAATGTACAAACAGCAGCGGTGGACAATATAAGGTTAACACAGGAATAGTTGGACACAGTACTCCCCTGACAGTTCTGAGAGTAAAGTTCGTGAAAAGTTTAATTTTCAGTCCAAACATCTGCCCACACAGAGAGGAAACCACAACAGTCGTAATTATAGGCTTATACATTACTGTGCAGGCCTATAATTAGGCTCTATTGTCTCTGTATTGTTAGGTAATGCGCAGTTAGAGGCATCAAGTGAATTTAAAAAAAAGCTTCATCTGAAAACAACTTGAAGCTTTGTGTGGAAAAAACACTGATGTTCACAAAAATCAGTTGTGCTTCAAAGCTGTTAAACTATTGGTTGTGGATTTCATCTCTTCCAGTGAAACCCTTTGGAGTTTTCAAGTCATACACATTCAGAGTAATGTGATTTAGAAATACTGACTGGTGTAGCTGTAGCTTTTACTCAACCATGGCAGTATGACTAGGTGAGGGACCTCTTTGGCAAGGGAGGAAAAAAAAGGCCAAGATAACAGCATAAAAGAGCTTTTGAGAATACACCCACTGTCTGGCCCATTTACATTTCCTCTTTCAAGCTCGTGAAAAGCCTTTGTGTGTGTTCATCAGTCATTCTGACTCACAGAGACGGCACAGTGTAGAGAAAGAGATAGGCTCATACAGGTTTCAGGCAGACAAATACTTAATATGGCCAGGTTGGATGTAACTGAGGTTTTTCATGGTATTTGTTTTCCTGGACACCTACACACCCAGGATTCCTTGCAACTTGCTCTTAAATTTCCATTTCAGGACACGGATATCCTCATCGTCTCCTATCCAAAGTCAGGTAAGAAAGAGAGAAGCCAAAAATTGTGTAAGTGTATATAATAAGTGTTTTCAAGTGTAATGCAACCGATAACGGGTTAAGCAACTTACCGCAGACTAAATGTTGAAATCATCATCGTAATTCATGATTGTCATTAACATGACTTGTGTTGTTGAACTGTTGTGTATGTAGTCTGAGTTCAGTTCCAGATGATTGTCTCTTCTCTCTCAACAGGCACCACATGGATGCAGGAAATTGTGAGTCTCATATCCAACAAAGGAGACCCGCACTTGTCGATGAAAGTCCCAAACTGGACTCGGTCTCCATGGCTTGAGCAATATTATTTTGCTGCCATACTGGAGGCTTCCCCCAGCACACCTCGAGTCATCACCACACACTTGCCTTATCACCTGCTGGGCCCTGGCCTCCACAGCTCCAAAGCCAAGGTCAGATTTACATAATGATGCTCCCGTTAAGACCACAGAGCCATAAAAAGCAAAAAGATAGACTTGTAATTTAAGAGGGAAAAAATGGAAGGTAAGACATGCTGGTTCTTCAACTTTAAAATGCTCTACTCAGTACCTCAGTTAAATACTCCAAAAAATAATCTGAGGAATTTACATCAAGTTTGAGTGTTTGAGTTATGTAGTTAAAATAAGAAAAAAAAACATAGGCTAATCCTCATCAAATATTTCAGTATTCTTAAATTTCAAGTGTGTTGCAAAACTATTCTGTAACGGTTGCTGTTTCCTCTTGCAGGTTATTTACGTGAGCAGAAACCCTAAAGATGTTGCTGTGTCTTTTTACCACTTCCACAAAATAGCCAACTTCCTCCCTGAGGCTGGCTCATTTCCACAGTTTTTAAAATCATTTCTGGAGGGCACACGTGAGTTTACGTTAAGAAAAAATAAATACATTTTTAAGGATAAGGTGATTTTAGCTCTATAGCCAAAAGTGTTAATTGACTGACAGAAATTGGTCACTTAATTGCTACAGTGTCCTATGGATCCTGGTTTGACCATGTGAAAGGCTGGACCAATCAGCCAGCCACTATGAACAATCTGCTTCACATCACTTATGAAGAGATGTCACTGGTAAAGTTTATTTCATTTTTCTATCTACTCACACTAAATGGCTGGCTACTGGTATTTTTTAATAGGAACCTAAGCCTGGGATTACTTCTAAGATAAATATCTATCTTGTTCTATATTCACAGGGCTGAGATGCAGGACTTAAGATAGAATCATGAATTTAGATAGAATTAAAATGTTTTAAACTTTTATAAACCAGCAAAACATAACTTACTATTCTACATCAGAGTCTTTGATTTTATCGAGCCTTTCATTGCAGATTGCTCACATAAGTCACTTGTATGTTTCAATGCAAATTTCCTTTTAAGACTAGTTTATCTTTAAGAGTTCTTATAATATTGTTTTTGGTTTCCTTCTGGTTTCAGGATCTTCATGGAGCCATAAAGAGGTTGAGCTCTTTCTTACAGTGTCCCCTGGTGGAGGACGAGGTCAACAACTGTGTGAAACACTGCACCTTCAACAGCATGAAACACAACAACATGGTCAACTACACGCAGATCTCACCAGATATAATAGACCATAACAAGGGCTCGTTCATGAGAAAAGGTAGGGCTCTTTTTTTTCTCATTTATAGATCAAATAAAATTGATGTGTAACGATGAATGAGGAATCTGAGGGATAACATGAAAAAATGTAAAAGGGATTACGCAACGTTTTATTCCCTCTACTTCAAACTGATACTTTTATCAACTCCAGCTGAAAAAAGGCCAAAGTAGGCCAGCTGTTGTTTTTACACTGTAGTGTTTAGACACATATCAGACAGGGGCAGTAACTTTCTTCAGTTTCCAGCCATGTCAGTGCTTGCGTGTACAACACTACATAGATAAAAATAGTAAATATAACATGTAAGTGAGTTTGGGAGGAGTTCATATACAGATGTTTTTATTTTTGACAAAGCTTAGCTGTTCTTCCTCTGTTTGAAGTCTTTATGCTTAGCTAACCTAACCATCTCCTGGCCCTTGCTTAGTCAGACATAAATATTCACATTTCATGTAAATGTGATCATTATATTTTCCTGAATCTTCAACAACTATTTTGTGTGGTTTGTTATCTTAAAGGTTAAAAAAAGACAACAGAAACTTTAGAATTATAATCAGCTGAGAAGAGCATATATTTTAATTTTTAATTTTCTTGCTTGTCTCTTTGTTCCCTTGCTTCTTCAATTTAGGCAAGATAGGAGATTGGAAAAACATGTTCTCAGATGAGCAAAATCAATATTTCAACAGTGTCTTCAAGTCCGAGATGCAGGACTGCACCTTACAGTTTATATGGGACGAGTGAGATGAAGAGGACACACATGCTAATGATGAAAC